GGGGCCGCCGCCCGCCCCGTCGGGGCCGCGGCGGGCCGGGCGGCCGGGGAGCGGCCCGGCCTGCAGCTCGGAGCCCCGCGCAGACGGGCGGGCGAGGCTCGGGCGCTGGCAGGACTGGGCTCAACGGGTCCTGGCTTATTGAGCAGGGACCGACCGTCCCGGCATTTCTGTAGGCCTTCCACGAGATGTGCTCAGAACCCAGAAGAGTTCTCGGGACAAAAACAGCGTTCTTAGAGCACAAACCCGATGTGGTGAAACAAGACGGTTCCAGCCAGAAATGTTCTAAGAACAGTTCGCGGAAACCACAAAAAAGGATTTTAGAACATTTGGTAGGACAATAGGCACGCCAGGACGCTTCGCCACTTCTGGGTTTAGTGAAGTGTGCATGGGCGTGTTTTTGTTAAATCGGCGTTTCAACAGTAGGCGGAAGGGGGGGGGGGGTCTGGCTCCGGACCTCTGTTTAGTGCGACTGCTGGGGACCGTGCGTCCTGGGGGGGGCTCCACCTGCTCGATACAGGCGCCAAAAACAGGCAAAATCTACTTACTCCATGGAGGGGGTTGCGAGGGCCCGCGCCGATCGGCAGAACAATGAGTAACAAAAACTATCATTACCGGGGGGACGCCCTCTTCGCCCCATTCCACTGACCAGAGCTGCCGTCACCAGAAGAACACCAGCCACGGCAAACCCATATCTAATGATTCCAGTCCATATTTTGGACTTCGGGGCCCAATCACTAACCGGCTTCCCCTTACCCGGGGTCCTGGCTATACCCGAGAGGCCGTTCGAGCGACGATCCAAGACGTCAGGAAACGCCTGAGGAATCTCGAGCCGTCTCCGAGGCCCCAAAAAATGGTCTACATTTCCAACGCTTTCACTGCACCGTCGCCCCGAGCTATCGTATGGATCGCTCAAGCTCTCATTCCCCTCGCAGACATAGACCGACCTCAGGAGACGAAGCGCTATCTAAAACGACGACGAGGCCCTGCCGCAGGCCACGCCAACACTATGCCCAAAACGCAGCCCGAAGCGTCAACCAGGTTTTACCCATATATGTTTGCTGAGACGCGCGATGCCTTTTTCCCCCAGGGTTGCATTGCGTTTTCAAAGATGTTTGTTGGGGGTGGGGCGTGGCATTTCGGGCAGCATTTGAGCGACGGTCAAAAACGGGTCTTGGGCGAGATGACGTGGCGACCTTACGCCGCAGTTTACGCGGGCCGCCGGCGCGGCACGCCACATTGGAGATGAGAGCGCTCACGCGCGACCTTACGCGGGGGCGAAGTCTAACCTTTTTTGTTGCGTCGCTTATTTGCTGGATCTTCCAAGCTCTCCGCCGCCTCAAGCGGTGTGCGGTCAGAACAGGAGCACAGCAAACCAACAGGAAGGCGTGGCACTGGCAGAATCGCTCCGCACACGTGTAAAATACTCGAAAGTAAGACATAAACAAAACAGGACACAACACAAGGGCCAGAGAGCCCCCCGAGACGTCCACCAGCGTTGCACCACCCTGGCGGGTGTGGACGGAAAAAAACAAGATGTCTTGAAAAAAACAGGGTGTGAAAAAGGACGGAAGGGGGGATACATCCAACGCACAGAGGAAAACAAACGGAAGGGGTTCGTCGTGTTGAGCTTCTGGGGGGCCTCGCCGGGCCGCGGGACCACAGAAAAGCGACCCACGACCAAAAGGGACATGAGGTCGAAGGAGAGAGGCAAGAGCCGTCAGATCTGGACGCTGCGATGTTTTCACAACGAGCGTTGTCGCCCTGTATATCGGGACCCCAAGCCAACACAAATCAATAGAGCTCAGAAAAATGCGGAAAAAACGATGGGGTCTACGGTTCCAGCAGTCGTGACGTGTCGTTTTGTTGTTATGTTTGACGCAGCCCGATCTCAGGGAAGACAGGAGGGAGAGAAGGGGGGGAGGTAGGCGCGAAGGAAAGGAGCGCGGAGGGGGATGGGAATTGTTGGATCGCGCATCTGATTCAACCGCTGGCTGGTCAGGTGGCAGATTGGCACTCAACACGCCAAACAAAGCAGGAGCTGATGCCCTGAAATTGTGTCGGCTCGGGCGCCAAGGATGCGGGCAAACGATGTCTGTCACAATTAAAGGCAGCAGGTGCAGCGCAGCACGAGAACATTACAGCGACTGCAATACAGGGAGAAACACATGCAAGGGAACAGCAAAAGGAGGGTCCTTGGTTGATTTTGTGTCGGATGTCTGACGCGCGAAAAAGGACACAACCCTCAGCCACCCAACACACTTGAGGCGGAAAGAAATTTCCGGCACCCAGACTGCACGATGACGATCCACAGCGGCGGGGACAACACCGATCTTTGCACAAAGACTCTAGAGAGGAGGCAGTGCAACACAATCCATCCCGCCAGCCAGAGCGGCTTGCCTTATAATTGAGTGGCGCCAGCCATTGACGGGGTGACTGATGGCCGTATGCCTGTGGTTTCACCGCCCACCGACAGGGAACGGCTACCACGCGGGCCGTGATGGGCGCCCCCACCCATGGGAGCCAACAGGAGGGTCGCTTCTGCGCGACCCCGCCGCCTCCGAGGCTTTGGCTACAGGGAGCGAAGCCCGCCACCATCCCCGCCCTTGGAGGCGCCCCTCGCTGCCCCCTATGAGGGCTGAGACGGCTGGGGGGGGTCCCTGACGGGAACCTCGAGGTGGCGGGCCTGTTCTCTCCTCTCCGCCCCTCCTCCACCTCCTCCTCCTCCTCCTCCTCGCCCCTCCTCCTCGCCCCTCCTCCTCGCCCCTTCTCTCTCTATGGCACGCTGTCCAACAACGTCCGGGCGCAAGGTATCGACGAGAACGCCCGGCGGCGAGGCCGAGACCAGCTGCATGCAGCAGCTTTCGCAAGCCCCCCTTTTCATATTTACCTTTCCCCTTGCCCCCGCCGCGCCGTCCTACCCGACCCATCCTGAAGGGGCCCACGAACACAAAAATGAATAGAGGGCGCGAGGACGTCCCCTACACGGCCCAAGAGGCCCGAGTCGCCGAAAGATCGCTCCAAGACCCTCAAGATGGTCTCTAGATGGCCCCAGATGCCGCGAGAAAGCCCCAAGGGAGCCTCAAGAGGCTCTCCAAGAGGGCAGCATCGCCCCATTTTCATCGGAAAACTTAAAATTGTCGCATGTACGACGTTTCGGGGTTCACAGCGTCCAGAACTGCCCCAGAGGCCTCCAACATCGTCCCCAGGCGGCCCAACACGCCCCGAAGATGGGCCCAAGAGAGCCCAAGAGGGCCCCAAGAGCCCAAGAAGGTGACCAGGACCCGAAGAGTCCAGCCTTCAGCCTCAAGGTCCCCAGGAGGCCCCAAGAGGCCCCCAAGACCCCAAGGGGCCCCCATGAGGCATCCCAAGAAGCCCCAAGAGGCCCCAACACAGCCCCCAAGAGGCATCAAAACTGCATCCCAGAGGTCCCCCAAAGGCCAACCACGAGAGCTCAACCAAAATCCATGAGGCCTCTGACCCACCGCCCACCGCCTCCCAATAATGGTAGCCGCCCAACGGCACCGCAAGGACAGCAACACCCAGACAAAAGACAGCGGCGAGGCAGTATGGACCGGCGGAATGAACGAAGAGATTACATAAATAGACAAAAGTCAAAAGATACCCTTATAGTTTGCCATATGTTCTGGAATTTTCGCCTTCTCCCCCCCCCCCCACACTGTCCATGTTTTCACATATTTTCCCGGGAATCGACGATGAGTTGTGTCTGTGTGTTTTCCTCTCCTGACATCCTCCCCCCCTGGCCAAGCGGGGGTCACGAGCCTGCAGAGGCCTGCAGGCGCGGCAAAGAATCCTTCAGAACCTCAGACACTGCCAAACCGCGAATACAGTCAGCCCGTATCAAAAGGATGCGCGATGAGGATACAAGGGCCTTGGAAGCCCATTTCGAAGCTTTTCGAGCGGGGCGCGGCCAACGAAAGTGGCGGAGGATGGACCGAGGCCGCAAGGATGCAAGGGTACCCTTGGGAAGGTTGCCCGGCGGCACTGTGCGGGTTGACTTTACCTCCCCTTCCCCCCCTCACTTCTGGAGATCCGACTCCTTGTTCCTTGCAATGCTGGGCTCCTGGAATCGGCTGTGGACAAGCCTCCCTTTAGTAGATTCCCCTTGATGAAAACGGCCTGGGACCGAAACCGACGGACCTGGACCCGCAAAAATGATGGTCGCGACGCCCTCTCGCGAACCGAAAACGGCCAATTCCTTAATCGGCGTGTCAGGGTAGGAGGTCTGTCCACCCCCGAGGGAAGCCCCGACCCCTCCCCCGGTGGCGGCGTCTCCCCGGCAGCCGCTCCCTAGAGGCCCAGGAGAGGCCGGGCGAGGGCCCCCAGAGCCCGAAAACGGCGGGCACTCCTCCTCCTCCTCCTCCTCCTCCTCCTCCTCCTCCTCCTGCCTCCCCCTCCTCCTCCTCCTCCTCCTCCTCCTCCTCCTCCTCCTCCTCCTCCACCTCCCCCTCCTCCTCCTCGTTCTCCCAGGCCGTCCGGCCCACACGTTGGCTGTCTGGACCCAGGCCGTCCGGCCCGACCTCCCCTCTGGCCCGCCGCCGACGCGGCGGGCTGCTGTCCAGACCTCCAACATGGGGCCGATTAAAGATGGTTTCGGATGATCATGCCGCATCGTCGATGTATCGGCGACGTCCGCGATGCTTCGGCGACGTCGGAGTGGAGAGCATCGGCCTCCACGTCGAGCCGCATCGCCGATGCATCGGCGACGCGGCGCGATCCTACGACGCTACCTACTCTTAGGCCTAACATTCAAGACGACGCCAGGACGAGGATCAAATCGAATGAAGATACATCGAGTCTAGAGAATCCTGCGGCTCTGGAGGATGTCTCGGGCGCCGGGGCCTTCTCATATAGCGTTCCGGAACGCTCTGAGAGCGTTTCAGAACGTCTTGGAACAGAGTTGTCCTCGTCACAGCCCCGCCCGAAGAGTTGTCGTCCGACCAGATCTCCACCCTGGCACGTCGCCGACGCGGCGCGCTATTTCTCTCAGAGCTCCACGCTGCCGCGACGGGCCCACTCCGCGGGAAGGCCGCGCGGCCCCGCCGGCGGGGCGGAGTGGCCGTCCTGGCGGCGCTTCGGGGGCGCGCGAGAGGGGGCCCTCCTCGAACGCTCGAGGTCACACTTTTCGAAAGCTCCTCCGCCTCCTCCTTCTCCTCCTGCTCGTGCTCCTCCTCCTGCTCCTCCTCCTTATTCTCCTTCTCAAGCACAAACAGCGTTTGACCGAGCGGCCCCCCCCCTTTTTGGCTCCAACCAGTCATGCAGCCACTCTCAGCGTCTCATCGCGACCTGCTTGTGGCAACCTGGAAATCTTGTGGCATCCACTGGTGTGGGTCTTGCTATTATCGATGGGTTGACTAAGACCGAGAGAAATTCATGCGGACACCTTTTACTCAGCAGCTTCCTCATCAGTGCTGACCACGTGTGACGTTGTGTTTTACCTCGTCCACGTCGCTTTCGTGCTGACATGGTGCAGAACGTGCCCTTTCTGTACCTGAGTATTCAAGCTTTCCTGTGCATCGAATTCGTGGTCCATCCCAGGCTGCACGGGCAGCGGGGGGGAACGCTGGCATTTACCCACCCGCCTGCGGTCAGGGCGTATTTCAGGCGAGCGGGTGTTGCTGTCACGACCGTCGTGGAGGACATCCGCCCCAGGGGCAGAGTCGATGGGGGGGAGCCGCTGGCACCGCTGGCATTTACCCACACGCCTGTTACATGGGAGTATTTCAGGCGAGCGGGTGTTGCTGTCACGACCGTCGTGGAGGACATTCGCCCCAGGTGCAGGGACGATCGGGGGAACCGCTAGCCTTGACCCACCCGCCTGTTACCTGGGCGCATGCCAAGTGGTGTGATGGAGTGGTGGCTCTTGGTATGGACTGGGAGTTCGTGGGGCCCTTTTCCCCCCCCGCCGTGTCCACTGTCGCTTTCGCTGGCCCTATATGTGTATGGTATATCCGCGTTTCAGCACAGAGGCTTGGACGAAGTCAAAAAAAACAATTCGTTGTCGTACGCGGGTACGGTCTTTCGTCAGATCGAGGGGGCCGAACGGTCATTCATTGTCCCTGGGCGCGTGGCTGAAGTGGAATTCCGCGGTGCGGATTATCGTTGTTGTTGTTGTTGTGTTTGTTGTTTGTTGTTTGTTGTTTGTTGTTTGTTGTTTGTTGTTTGTTGTTTGTTGTTGTTGTTGTTGTTGGTGTTGGTGGTGTTGTTGTTGTTGTTGTTGTAGTTGTTGTTGTTGTTGTTGTTGTTGCTGTTGTTGTTGTTGTTGTTTGTTGTCGTCGTCCCAGCTGCAACCCGCCCCGCGACCCACCCGCGACCCAACCCGCGACCCACCCCGCGACCCACCCGCGACCCCGCGACCCCGCGACCCTCCCCGCGACCCACCCCGCGACCCACCCCGCGACCCACCCCGCGACCCACCCCGCGACCCACACCGCGACCCGCCCGCGGCCCACCCCGCGACCCACCCGCGACCCACCCGCGACCCACCCGCGACCCACCCGCGACCCACCCGCGACCCACCCCGCGACCCACCCGCGACCCACCTTCGACCCAAACCACGTTCAAGGTACAAACCACAATTTTCGGCGCCTGCGGCGGGCTTTTTTTGCATTCCTTCCAGGTGGAGAGCCCGCGACCCACCCCGTGACCAACTCGCGACCAACCCGCGACCCAAACCACGTTCAGGGTACAAACCACATTTTTCGGCGCCTGCGGCGGGCATCTTTTGCATTCGCTTCAGGTGGAGAGCCCGCGGCCCACCCGCGACCACGTTCAGGGTACAAACCGCATTTTTCGGCGCCTGCGGCGGGCATCTTTTGCATTCGTTCCCGGTGGAGAACCCGCGGCCCACCCGCGACCCAAACCACGTTCAGTGTACAAACCAATTTTTTGGCGCCTGCGGCGGGCTGCTTTTGCATTCCTTCCAGGTGGAGGTGGAGAGCCCGCGACCCACCCGCGACCCAAACCACGTTCACTGAACAAACCAATGCCGCACAAGCGCGGCGGCAGATTTTTGCATGCCGTCTGAGCCCGCAAGGACCTCTTCAAGCCCCGCGCATCCACACCAGCCCGTCCAGCAACTTTGCCCTGGCGAGTTGCCTTGATCAGAGAAGTCGGGGAGCATAAAGTGGAAAACAGGATTGTGTTGCAGTTATCTTGGGAAAGGAGGGGGAGGCAGGATGAGTAAACAGGGGACGAGGAGGACGCGGAAGAAGAGAGGATGTAAGGAAACGTGGAGAAAGAAAAGGAGGAGGAGCAGGAGGACGAGGAGGGGGGAGAGGAGGAGGAGGACGAGGAGGGGGAGGAGGATGATGATGATGATGATGATGATGATGATGATGATGATGATGATGATGATGATGATGGACGACAATGGGAGGACGATGATGGAGGCCGATGAGGGGGAGGACGACAATGGGAGGACGATGATGAAAGGACGAGGGGGGGAGAGGGAGGAAGAGGAAGAAGAGGAGGAGGAGGCCGAGGTGGAGAGGACGAGGACGAGGAGGAGGAGGAGGAGGAGAGCGCCATCGACAGGGAAAGTGAGGGCCACGAGGTCCGCCGGCTCGACGACGCCCGCGTCGCCCGCGCCCGCCCCCTCACTCTTATCCGCAATTGCGGGGTGCTACGTATTGATATAGCGGCGCTGTCTGTGGAGGAGGCGATCCCTTGTGGGGGATGCCCGATGACCAGTGATGAATTGTCACATCATTGTAGTGGGCCGCATCGAGCCGATGTCATCTCAACTGAACGTTGTCAATATCTACGGTTTGGACCGTGCACGTGTCCTACCTTTCCCTCATATACTTGAAGATGGTCTGTGGGTGGCTTTAAGTTTGAGGCTTCGTCGTTTGATCATGCTCATGCGCATGCTCCTCCTCCTCTTCCTCCTGGTCCTCCTCATGATCCTCCTCCTGCTCCTCCTCCTGCTCCTGCTCCTCCTCCTGAAACTACTACTGCTCCTGCTCCTGCTCCTCATTCTCCTCCTCCTCCTCATCCGCCTCCTCCTCCCCCTTCCCGTAGCCATACTGGTTCAAGGTTTGGGGTTTCCCTGCAAACCAAGTAGATACATCCTTCTTCTCCTGCCAGTAGCCATCTTGGTTCAAAGCTGCAGGTTCCCCTGCGAACCACGTGGAGACCGCTAATTCGCGGCAGTCGAAACTGTTCGGCCTGGGCATCCATCTTGGCATTGGAGGGGAGCTGCGCGCTGCCGCCTCGAGTCACCTGGTTCGGACCTGGGAGGTGTAGCTGCACGCTGCCCGCGATGCCGTCCTGAGCCACGGCCAGCGGCCCACCAGCCGTTGGACCAGCGCCCGACATGCAAGATGCGAAGCATACGAAACGCATCGCGTGTAAGCACGAGTGGACATGGTGGGGGCGAAAGGCATTCTTCGCGCGCATGGCCAAGCTCGAGTGCGAGAGATGCCCGAGGGCGGCAGCGCGAGGAGCCTGGTCTCAAAGCTTGCCTCATCCAATCCCGCGAGGTCACGAAAGATGGAAGGGCTGGCGTCAGTGGCCCAAGACCCGCAAGGAAGGCAGCCACGATGCTGGAGCCAAGAATACTCCTGATACGGTCGGCGACGTAGCTACGGCCCTGGCCATCTTGCAGAAGCAGGTCCGCCAGGGCAGCGGGAAGCGCTGGAGACCTTCAAGACAGCCAGCAGCCCACCAAAGCCCGTCGCTCCCGAATCGGCCCACGCCAAGACCCAACGGGTCCTGGAGGCGGAGGAGAGGGGGGGGGGCAAAGCGAAGGACAAAGCCTTCATCTCAGAACGCAAGGCGAATACATAGGCAACCCCATGTAAGAGCTTGACCAGTGAGTGCGCGAACTCTCTGGCACAAGATCAGCGTCAGGTGCAACAAACGCTCACGGCAATCGATGCGAAGCGAGGGCAGCAGGCTACACCATCGACGCAGCCGGCCGCGACATCGGGCGGCATAAACCTGAGACGACCACATCAAGAAGAGGAAGAAGACTAAGAAACAGATCTCTTATTTGAGGAGAGGGAGGCCTTCTCCATCGAGGACCTGGAGATCGACCCAGCGGACGAGCAGCAATGGACTGGGCTCAATACCCGATTCGTCGAGGAGCTCAAGGGCAAGGTCCGCGAGGTCTTCGGCTCAACCGCCATCGATACCCAGCAGCGGAAGCAGAAGCTCGAGACCATGCGCAAGCACCTCAAGGCCAAGAGCCAGCGCACCGACGCGGCCGAGCCAGCCAGGTTCTGGGGAAATCAGAAGGGAACGATACTGCTACTCCCCAGACCTCTCCCGGGGTGAGTTCTGACCAGAACTTCGAGGCGCATCCAGCGGTGGCGACGAGGGCCTACCAGGAGGCTCCAAAGTGGAACAACAACGGGGGGAGGGGAGCGGTATGGGCACCTTCTTCCTCCTCTAAGGTCGAGGCCCCTGCAGTGGGGGGCCCGAAACTATACACCACCACCACCACCTCCCTCACCCCCTCCCCCTCCCAGGAAAGAGGAGAGGAAGAGAAGGGTGGAGGAGAGAGAGGAGGAATCGACGTGGTGGTGGTGAATATTCTTTGGGTCCCCATGCTGCTCCTCCCGCGCGCCGCTGCCCGTCCTGCCGCCGGAGGGGCCCGCAGGCTCCGCCCCCCACCCAGCCCACCGACGAGGGGTCGAGAGGTGAGCATCGCTTATCCCAGGGCTGAAGATAAACGGTGTTTTTCGTTTTCGTTTTGGTTTCGTTTTCCCTCGCTTTTGTCTCGAATCTGCCTTCACCGCAAAGCGAAGTCGAAACGAAAACTGACCACGATATCTCCAAAAACACCGTTTAGGTCCACCCCTGGTTTATCCGACCCCAATCCCCAGCGGCGTGGCCTGGGCCGCACTGGCCGATTTACCCCCCTAGATGGGGGCATAGGTCGTTCTCTTCGGGTTTCGAGGAGAGTATCACCAACTGGAGAGGTAATTTGGTGGGGGTCTCGGAGGGGATGAGGATGGGGATAGGGTGTCGGTTAAACGATACTGATGGGTGGTCGACTACAGACTTGATGTACCCCAAGCTTGACTTGCTCGTCAACTCTGCAGCACAGAAGCGTAGACAGTTCGCGTATGCACTAGACTTACACGTGCCTGCTGCAGCTCCGGCAAAAGTTTCAATTGTGGGGCAGATCCATTCCGTAGTCGACCTCCTACAGGAATGGAAGAAGCCGACAGGCCCGCGAACTCTTTGGCCCCGAGTCGCCTGGCCCCGTAGAGCGCCGCACGACGAGCGTGCGGACCATCACCGGCTGGGGCCAGCAGCGCAAGGAGCGCATCTAGCGGCCGCCCTTCCAGGCCGACGCCCTCGGCCTGGCGGAGACGCATCATTGCGAGCACGCAAGCGGCACGGAGCACCACGCGGCCGCGTGAAGGCGGCCACCACGCTCGCGAGAGCCGACGGAACAGCCAAACATGCAGGAGAAGTTGCACTGGTAGCTCGACTGCAGCTACAGCGTGCATCCCTAGATCACCTGGCCAGGCACAACAGTCAGACGCGAGGCCAACTGCGACCTCGGCGCCCTGAGCCAGCGTTCGTGGCGGGCCCAGTCGACTTCTTGGACTTCCAGGCGTTCGCGCTACATATTAGACACGGAGAAGTGACGGTGATTGCAGTGTACCTCGCCAGACCCAGCGGCCTGTAAAGAGAGAACATGATCTAACTACAGACGGCCTTACATTTAGGATCATCCTCCCATCCTCGCTTTCCCCCTCCACTGGTCGCTATCCTCCCCTCCTCAGTTCCTTCTCCAGCTACAGCCGTGCCCACTGCTTAGAAAGGAGGAGAGGAGGATAATGAGAAGGAGCAGGAAAAGGAGAAGCGGGAAGAGGGGCAGGTGGATCAGGGATGTGTTCACCATGAACAAATGCAATAAGCAAGACGGGTCTGTAATTTGGAATCAAGGTATGAAGCGAGATGTAGAGAAGTCTCGCTCGAGACCAATGACCCCATCTGGGTCAACGCGAATAGTGCAGCTGGGGAAAAGGAAGGGGAGGGACAAAGGAGAGGAGGAGGTGCAGCAGGGTGGGGCAGAAAGAAAGGAGGACGAAGCGGAGGAGCAAGATGACGAGGAGGAAAACGACGATCGGGAGGATGGCGCGCAAGAGGGCAAGGAAGAGCGGCAGAAAGGACGAGCAGCAGACGCTGCAACTGATTACGCAGGCTCATCGCGCTCAACTGTTGCGCCGCATCTTTGCCGTGACGCGACAATGACAGTGGAAAGGCCTGCCTGAACTGCGTAGACAGTAAGCCGATGCTGGGAATACGACTCTCCATGTTTCAAGCCCTGCTGAGCATCCAGAAGCCAAACAGACGAACGATGAAAACGCCGTGGGCCACCTGAGGAATTGGACGCACGGGGCGGCTCCTGCTCCTGTCCTCCTCATCCTCGTCTGCCTCCTCGTCTTCCTCCTCGTCTTCCTCCTCGTCTTCCTCCCCCTCCTCCTCCTCCTCCTCCTCCTCTCCTCCTTCTCCTCCTCCTCCTCCTCCTCCTACTTCTCCTCCTCCTCCTCCTCCTCCTCCAAGCACCAAATCATTCCCCTCCTGCTCCTCCACTCCTGCTCCCCCACCCTTTCCACTGCTCCTCCCCCCAGTCCTGCTCCTCCGCACTCCTGCTTCATATGTTTGGGAATTGCTGCACTGTCGGGAATGCAGCCTCAGCGGCTCCGGCAGCCGGCGTCGATGAGGAGGGCAAGAGAGGAAAGGGAAGGATGAGCAGAGAAGCAGGGAAGCAGGGAGGAGAGGGAAGGAGGGAGAATACAGGGAAGGGGAGGGGGGGGGAGGAAGAGGAGGAGGAGGAGGAGGAGGAGGAGGAGAAGGAGGAGGAGGAGGAGGAGGAGGAGCAGGAGGAGGAGGGGGAGGAGGAGGAGAGGAGGAGGAGGAGGGAGGAGGAGCAGGAGGAGGAGGGATGCGAAGAAAAAAAGGACGAGGGCCTCAGGAAGAAAATCTGTTCACCAGCGCCACGCTGAAACGGCTCAGGTTTGCACCGGCCGCGCGGCGGCGGCGTCCTGCGCTGCAGCTGGAGGGGCCGTCGTGGGGCCCTTCCACAGCTCCGCGTCGAGGCACACGGCACGGAAGACGAGGGCGGACACGCCAAGCACGAGCAAGGCGTTGATACCTGCTCGCCAAGGCGCGATTGGGGGGGAGGAGGGGGAGGAAGGCAGAGGAAGAGGAGGAATAGGAAGAGGAGGAGAGGGAGGAGGAGGAAGAGGAGAGGGAGGAGAAAGAGGAGGAAAAATGGGGAAGTGGAGAGGAGGAGGAGGAGAAGAGGAGGAGGAGGAGGAGGAGGAGGAGGAGGGGGAAGAGGAGGGGGAGGATGGTATTCTGTTTCGCGAGATACGGTCGGCGGGCGCAAAACGGCAAAATTGTTCTACAAAGACACACACACACACACACACACACACACACACACACACACACACACACACACACACCACACACACACACACACACACACACACACACACACACACACACACACACACACACACACACACACACACACACACACACACACACACACACACACACACACACACACACACACACACACACACACACACACACACACACACACACACACACACACACACACACACATACACGCGCATACACACACACACGGCTTGTCCGTCGCACGCTCGAGCTGGCGGGGGGCGGGCCAACGATTTGTCCGGCGGCAACAGAGGAGACGGTGGTGGAGGGTGGCCGCAGTGCAGCGGGGAAGGAGGAGGGCACTCACTGCGCAAAGGTTTTCGTCAAGAATGGTCGGTGCGGCCAGCCCGAGCTAAACAGCCTGGCAGTGTCCGCGGAGCGGCATCGCGGCCACTCCCAGGGGCTGAGGCAGGGGCTGCAGGTAGGGAAGCGCAGCTCCAGTGGTCAGCACGGGAGAAGAACGGCAAGCGGACCCACAGCAGCGAGAGCGGCAGCATCCGAATGCTCCGACGTCGCGACGTGTCGGCGTAGGAGACAGCCTCTGCTGCAAGGGTACGGCGCGAGCAGGATGCGAACGTCGCCGGAGCGACCGTGAGTGGCTGGGTCCACTAAGGCCGTGCAGCAAACTGCTGTCGCGATGCCAGCCAGACCAGCTGGGCAGCAGGTCTGAAACAACTGAACTGCTGAGCGACTGCTGCGGGGCCACGGGCTGCTGAGCTGCGGCGGTTGACCAGCCGAGGCATGGCGAGCCAACCGCCATCCGAACGGGAGCATCCAGGCGCCGGGGTGGAACGCGGGGAGGGAAGGCGGCCGACCCGGCCGGTGCACGCATCGCAGCTGGGAGGACCAGGAACGCCTGGCCGCAGGACCGACCAGGCGAGGGCGCTCAGCTGAAGGAGCAGCTAAGCAGGGGACCCGGCGGAGCCGGGCAGAGGCTTCCCAGCGCGCAGCGGCCAGGGGCCGCGCAGGGGCGGCACCAGCGAGACGCACAGCTGACGGGAGGCTGCGGGGGCCGCGCGACGCCGCCAGCAGTAGCTCAGGGACCGCTCCCCTGAGCCCCACCCAGCCTGCCAAGTGGCCCGCAGCACCAGCTACGAGCACAGCAATCGCGGCGGTGATGCCAACCAGCATGTCATGTGACCCGCCGCACCTGGTCGGTGCACATCGTCTGTGGCAGTACCCACCTGGGGGTTGGGCGCTCCAGCCAAGACGCGCCAAACCTCAGTGGCAGCGCCCGCCTGGCGAGGCGGCTCTACGGCCAGGAAGGGAGGGGGGGGAACCCACCCGGGGGGGGGGTACCGGGGGGGAGCGCTCCAGCGGGGCAGGAGAGAGATGGCGGGCCACCTGGGAGGGCCGCGCGCGCAGAAGGCACCTGATCGGTGCACAAGCGCGTAGAAGGGGGCAGGAATCCTACTTGGGGGGGTACGTAGGTCTGCCTGCGCGTCGTCGCGGGCGCCCGCAGGCACCGCCAGGCGAGAGCACGGAGGGCCTGCGAGAGCCCAACCTCGGTGAGCAGGTGCCCGAAAGAGTCGGGGCCAGGCAAACCACCTCGCAGGCCGCAGTCACACTGCGACCTCAGTCGCGCGTCGAGTGGCAGGGCGCCCACTCGCTGCGGGGAGACACCCCACACGCGATTCCAGGCCGCACTGCCCAGCCGCAGGACGGCTGCGAGGGCTGGATCCCTCGCTAGCGGGACTGATCCCCGGCCAGCCACGAGGCGCCGCTGGCGCGCTCGCCACCCCGGACTTCCCCCCCCCACGTGCACGAACGAATTTACCGCTCCCGGTGCTGGCGCCACGCGTCGCCACAGTCGACCTCTACGCGCCAGAGCCGGCAGACGGCCCCCACGTCGTAGCAGGAGTCCTTCGGGTCGGCCGAGAACTGCCCGCAAAAGTCCTCGCAGCCGAAACGGTTCGTAGCGCCCTTTGCCCCATCCCTCGCCATCTCGTTCGTCGCGGGCCAGATTCCCGCCGTCCGCGAACATCGCCCTGCAGGTGCCTTTGAGGCGGTCGATGACCTTCGGCCAAATATCCAGGCACCCCTCTCTCCGACTGCTCTGTGGCCCCCAGTGGGTATCGCACCGAGGCACGTTGTAGGCGCGCGCCTCAGTCAGTAGCGGGTCATTCCTGTCGGGTCGGTGGCATGCGGGGTCGCTCCCCCAGCCACGGGCGCTCACTGCGGGGGTGCTGTGCCAATAGGACGAGTATCTCCAGGCGCTGTCGGAGGGCCCGCCCCCCGCTGCCCGTGGGCTATTTGGACCAGTCAGCAGCACGGTTGTGAACAGCCCGCCAGGTAGGGGCGTCGGAGGGCGTTTGGCCCGCATTTCCATCCTGATCTCTCCGGGTGGCGCTTCCATCTGGGGTGTCGCCGTCATCTGCGCTGGCGGCGGGGCGGCCACCGTGGATGCTCCGGGCGAAGTGCGCCGAGTCCGCTCCGCCCCAGACCGTGGCCCCATCGCCCCCTGCTCTGGCGCAGAATCGCTGCCCTGCGCGGACCTCCCCCGCAGGTCCTACCGCAGAGCCAGGCGGAGAACCGTTCCCCAGTCCCGTCTTGGGGCGATATCGGGGTCCCATCGGGCCGCTTTGGACGCTGCGAAGTCCCAAACAGCGGATATGTTAAACTTTTACCTTGCCCTCTAGGAAAGGGACGATTTTTGTTTCTTTGGGCCTCTGTTAACAGCCTCTTGATGCGTCTTGGGGGCCTCTTGGGCCGTTTTTAGACCATCAAGGTGCCTCTTGGAAACGTGCCCGTGCCATCGCGTGGGAGGGCGCCATTCTCGCCCCTGGTCGTTAGCTTGTGGGCCGCCCGCACGCTGGGCGCGAGACGCTTGGCCCGGTGGCCTCACCCGTGCCCGCGACGCCCCCGCCTTCTTTGAAGGGGCCCTGGGATGAACAAACAAACAAACACAAATAACAGGATTCCCTCTATTGTTCCATATTTTCTGGGTTTTCGTCTTCCCCCCTACTTCCTATATTGTCCCATACTTTCTGGGGAATCGACGAGTGTCTGTGTGTTTTTTGTCCTTCCTGATTCTTTGTCGCGGGGGGCTGGGGGAGCGCGGCTGTCCCTCCCCCCCTGCCCCAGACGTGCGACGTCCTGTTTTCTTCAAAGTCGGGGCCCCTGGAAGCCCCGCCCCGTTCCCCGGGACCGACTCTTCGTCCCGAGTCGTTTCTTGATGGTCCCGAGGCCGGGCGAGGGCCCCCCGAGGCCGAAAAGGACCAAAATCCTCGCGTCCTGATTTGTTTTACGGCGCGAGCATGTCGGGGTGGTGCTGGCCCGCTGGGTCGCGACGCCCTGCTCGACACCCGGCTGCAGAGCAGGGGAAGGGGGGGGGCTCTCGCAGCGAGGCCACCCGCCCCCGGAGTGACCAAGGGCGAGACTTGGGTCGGGCCTGTCATCCTACAGGCAGATTTTGGACAGAATAAGTATTCAACTAATGGTGGATTCCTCCTGTAGAGAAAGGGACATGCCCCACTTAAGGCGAGACCTTCGCCCTTCGCTTTTGAAGGAGTGGGGCCTTCGCTTTCCCCACCGACAAGCTCCTCTGAGTGACAGTCGGGGATCTGCTAACCCGGGTCAATCAGACCCGGGTCAGCAGGAAACCAAACAACTGCAATGCAGGAGAAAAATTACCGAGGGACGTACCCAACCCTTTGGCAACAGGTAGCATTATCAACTGCGGTTTTCAAAATAGCTGAACATCCGCTGGACGTCAAAGAGGCCAACGAAAGCGACGACCATTGCATTCTTGGCAATCGCCGCGCTTGAGGGTCAAGCGGTGTACTTCGCTCAACGAAGAATCAGCGCCTCGCGCTCTTGAGGGACAGCGCTGCGCACTGCGCTACACGACGGCGCCGCGCGACCGATCAGCGAACAGCGCTTTGCGCTCGATCCTGGTGTCAACATACTGCCTGCACCAGGGCCGCGCCTTCTTTAGCCCCCTCCGCGCTTTCCCATGCCACGGAGAAACAGCGCCGCGCGCTGGACCCGAAAGCTTTAGCTCGAGCCTGTAGCTGTAGCAGGAGAATAATATTCTGCTGTTTCGGTCGCACCCCATTCTCATGGGCCTGTAGCTGTGGCTTGGGCCTGTAGCCGAAGCTTGGGACCCGAAAGCTTTAGCTCGGGCCTTTAGCTGTAGCAGGATAATAGTATTCTGCTGCTTCGCTCGCGCCCCATTCTCATGGGCCTGTGACAATGGCTTGGGCCTGTAGCCGAAGCTCGGGACCCGAAAGCTTTAGCTCGGGCGTGTAGCTGTAGCACGAGAATAATATTCTGCCGTTTCGGTCGCACCCCATTCTCATGGGCCTGTAGCTGTGGCTTGGGCCTGTAGCCGAAGCTTGGGACCCGAAAGCTTTCGCTCGGGCCTGTAGCTGTAGCAGGAGAATAATCTTCTGCTGTTTCGGTCGCGCCCCATTCTCATGGGCCTGTAGCTGTGGTTTGGGCTTGTAGCCGAAGCTTGGGACCCGAAAGCTTTAGCTCGGGCGTGTAGCTGTAGCAGGAGAATAATCTTCTGCTGTTTCGGTCGCGCCCCATTCTCATGGGCCTGTAGCTGTGGCTTGGGCCTGTAGCCGAAGCTTGGGACCCGAAAGCTTTAGCTGGGCCTGTAGCTGTAGCAGGAGAATAATATTCTGCTGTTCCGGTCGCACCCCATTCTCACGGGCCTGTAGCTGTGGCTTGAGCCTG